CAATTTAATCACTGCTGAGTCAGTTTTATTTTACACAGACTGATGCAGTATTTTCAGCTAAGAAATTAGATAGTAATTAGAAATTACCCAGTAATTATGATCTAAGTCTTATAATTCTCTAAATGTGTTATAATGTACCTGACAGGGTTTTGATTATACATGAAAAGTTCATTGTATCATCAGCTAAAAATCACTTGCTCTCTATTGGATGATATTAAAGCATCAAAGGGACTAGTACAGGTGGGCCTTAGTAACTTCTAATTTCAGCACTTCAGAATTCCAGTGGTTTTCCTGTCACTCAGTATGCAGTGGTGACTGAGACAAGTAGGGATTGGACAGTGTGCAAGAAAATATATGAGACAACAGCTGTTAACAGTTGAATATTAATTCTCTGTTATTCCATATTTAATTAATCTATTAAATATTGTTTTGGGAGAATTTCACTTCCAAGACAAGGTTATTGACCAAAAAAAAACAACAGCATTTTTGAAAAAAATAACTTTTAAAAGACCATCAGCTGATCTCATGGAAGAAAAATGTTTCTAGGTTCTTAAAAACATTCAAGGACATTTGTTAAATAAATATTATTAGACCTGTAATTCATAGGGAAGCCTGTTAAAATAATATTATTAATTACACTTAATGACAGTAATGACAAAAATACATTTTGCTTCTCACCAGAATGGTATTAATTTTTTGAGTGCAATCAATTCTTCTTTATCTGCTTAATATAGTGCTGGCACAAGAGACTCCATTTTGGAGAACACGACAATATTTTTCAGTAAATGTTGATGAAAACATTTTGAATCCTCTTGTGCTGAAAGTGCATTTTGAAAAACTACAAATATAGCAAAAATAATTTCTTCATTCAGATCTATGTTGCCATGCTGGTCTTCCTTTAAAGTGTATACCCTTGAAGCCATTTCAGAATCTTTGCTTTTAAATTTCAGAAATCTTGAGTTGCCTGAGAATAATCTGAAAGCTCAAAGTTCAGAAAACAAATGAAGAGAACCTCAAATATTGCTTTGGAAAAGATGATGCTTTAACCACTTATTTATTTATTTATTTATTCCTCCTTTCGAATCTGAAACGTGATTATATAGTTGGTAAACTATAAAGTATTTTAGAACAAGATTGACATTCTTTGTGAAAGCACTTGTGGAGTTCCCAGAGGAGGGAGCAGACAGTTGAAATGTTCTGGGCAAGAGATTTTCTTTAGAGCATATTCAATCACATTAAAATATAATTGCTGCTTCTCAGTAATAACCACGAACCACTCTGAGGAGCATCACTGCCTCTGGAATACACAAGCACTTCTGAAACACTCCAGCTCCAATATAAGGGACACTGTTACCTGTAGGAACAGTTTCTTCCTTCTGCAATTAAATACTTCTGCTTCTTCCTTTAGAGTCTGTAAAGTACTACTGTATTTTGAAAAAAGAGTTCTCCAAATTACGTGAAGTACCTCTCAGACAAGAGAATGTTTTTTCCTAAGTGAAGTTCAGGTGCTGCATGCAGCATAATTCTGTTTTGTGGCTTAACACTTCACTGAATGCTGCAATTCAGCTACATTGGGTATTCTCAGCCATATCTCTCAAATTTTATTTTAAAGTACTGGCTAGATAGGTAAAGACTGACAGAAGCTTATATTAGCTTTAATTTACTGATAGTGCAGAATGTTTTTACTGCAGACAAAAGAAACTTGGTCTTCAGTCTGCCCTGTTACCGCTGTTTGTCTTATGGTGACTGAAACAAGTCACAGAAGAAATTATCATTCTGGAGAGATACCTTCAGTGCAGTGCCACCCCATACTTCTCTATCGGAGGCATTTAAATAATAACAATATTTTGTTTTCATCATTCTACATTATTCTAGCTGCAATTTTCATAAAAGCTGCTCTTGATCACTAGTGAATAATATAAACTGATGACATGGAAATATACCTGTGCACATGAACTGATGTAGTACAGCTGTTAAGATTGCTTAGATTTGACAGCGTAAAATAGTTGTTAAACTAAATCAATGAAATTTTGATTCACCAGTCAGGTAAATTAAATGAGAACTTTGCTGTTTATGACTGTCTAATATTTTTAATAAATAGGTTTCTGTTTCAGAAAATATTCTGAACATAACCTAACAGCATACTTCAGGCACTGAAGACTACTTTTTTTTGTTCCTTTTTTTTTTTTTTTTTTTTACTTTTTCTGCCTGCTGTCACAAAAGAACAAACTTATTCTATTTGTTCTTAAATTGTATTCACCTCAAACACCTCACAGCCTCATAAAAACTGGCTTAGAAAATAAGACACCCAAAAGAAAATATTTTTGAAGTAAAAAGAAGGCATATTTTCATTTGATTCTATAAATATTTTTCTTTCCCTCTTTGCAATATTAAAATGAGTTTCATAACAGTACATTTAACTTATAAATTTAAATGAAAGCTTAAGTGGCATTACAGGGTTCATAATAGACCCACCAGGCATTACCATGACTCTTTTGTTTCTCATATTACATATTAGTAGTATATATGCACAATAGTATATATGTTGGAGAGCTTGCTCAGAAGGTGCTAGTCTCTTCTCAATCTGCAGAGATTAGACAAATAGCTTCTGTGTCTCAGGATTATTCCCTAATCACTGGGATGAAGACACGTCCCTTCTGCTTGCTCTCCTGCTCTTTCACAGAACAAAGTTTTAACAGAAAGTTTCACTGCTTTTTCAGAGTATGCTATGGCCAGTTGGTGATGGTGCTCTCACTTTCTCTACAAATAGACACCAGCAAGACAAATGCACCACCACCACTGGCAGAACTTCTCTCTTTTAGGTCTTATTGTTCTGCCACAGAGCATTTGAGAACCCAAGTGAAATGTCCCATGTGAGTCAGGGGCCCTCGCTCCAGCGAGGGCACAAATTCAGACATACCAAACATGCTTTGTGCACCAAAAAGCCCCTTGCTCACTACACAGACTCTTCTGAATATCACTGAGATTTCTCCCCTGGCTTTCAAAAAGGTAAGGTACCTACCTTAAAAGACTTTGATCTTTCCCCTGGCATTTGTAATTTAGGTCACATTGATTTATTTTTACCTGTATCTTATGACTCAGAAGGGTAAACATGTTTTAGATGTTTTCATTAATTACAATTCAATTAATTTCAACTCAATACTTGTTTTGTTTTGTTTTTTTTTTTTGTTTTGTTTTGTTTTTCAATTTACAAAAATTCTTAATAGTAAATTCACCCGTACACAAGAAGTAAGACTGGATGGAAAATGGCAGAATTTGTCCATATTCAATGAATACACTCTTTCACTTAGAACACATTTAGAACACAGGCCTGGCAATCTCTTATCTGTAGCCCCAAAAACTTTAATAAAATGTATTTGCCATACTTCAATTTGTTGATCAACAGCAATTCCATTTACACTGTATGTTATCACAGAAACTGCAGAAAATTCAGAAAAAAATATTATTTGATTATGAAATTACAAGAGAAATGCACTTTGCTAAAAGGCATTATAAAGAAGAAATCAATAGATACTGTGCAGTGTTGACTAAAAATATTGTAATAAATATTTCTAGTATGGATGCTAAAAAATTTAATGAAATACCTAGATTATCTCGTGTTCCAAAAAGTCAATAGTACTCTACTGTTTTTGCCGAAATTATACAGTTATCAAGACAACATAATCATTATGAAGACACTCATTTTTAGAGACAAGCATGTCTGGGGGACATAGTAAGATATGAAAAGACATCGATATCAGAACTTGCTAATTTGCAAAAGGGACTATGTGTATAATATAATGGCAGAATGATTTTGAGGCAGCAGATGGGAAAAGAAAAAAGTGGAAATGTCAAAAGTACAAGAAAAAAAGTGAAGTAATATATGAAAAATTATGTGTTTATGAGAATAATAAACATTTTGTATATAATTTACAAGAGTTTATTAATAACTCTGCATAAAGGAACATTTAAGAAGCAGTTGGCCAGTAGGCTGTATAGGAGCAAAGAGATCTAATCTTTAAGCACCAAAGGCTTCAAAACCAGAAAAGAGGATTTACATAGTTCATAGCCTCCCTGGCTAATCCAGTAAAAATCTGCAGCGGGAATCACAGTCAGCTACACCAACTGGCTGCCTAGAGGGAGAGTCATCAAGGCTACTTCCTTTTTTTATCACAGAATGCCCTTAGAAGGCAATGGCAACTAAGCAATACTGTTGCTGACTGTGAAACTGTAGCCTCAGTGTTGGGAAACAGATGGGAAGTTGGAAAGAATTGCTTAGAGTAAACTGGGACAGGACTGACAGCTTCTCAAACTATCGCTATATTCTAAGCTCAGGTAACACTTGGAACTCTGAACTGATTCACCAGTTTAGTTGGCTGAAGAACAACACAAGAGATAAACATCTGTCAAGTTGAAGTTAAGACTACATTTTGTATTTGTTTTATTAAATGCTTGTTTCTGATCTCCAAAATTTAAGATTTTACCAATACAAGCTCTTAGAGTTTATTTTTTTTCCCCCACTTTTTATTTGTAAGCCTGTCTAATATTGTGGAGTGAATCATGATTCAGACATATCAGAGACATATCAGAGACATTTACTGTGAATAAAATTTCTGAGGTACCATTCAGAACATGTTTAAACTCACTGGGATTTGCATATTTTCTGCAAGTCTGTGAAGGGCCAGTATAAGAAGACCATAAGGATAGATGCTTTAGATAACAGCAAATGCCTCTCTACTTGTCATGCAAAAGTGCTGAAAATATGTTTTATTTTGATCACAATATAATCAAAACTCAGGACATGTTTAGAACATATCTAAATACTTTTGTTAACTATGTACCTAGCACACATGAGATTCCCGTATTATTAATATAAATCACTCAAAGAAAAAGTCTAGCTGAGAGTATTTATGGGCTACTTCAGGCTGAAATTTGGAAAAAGTATGTACTGTGTATTCATTAATCAATGACAGTCTTTTTTATGGTCTTGTTTTGTGCAGGATATTGAAATTGGATCTGTAATGGACGAATCTTCTAATTCACAAGGAGTCCTACTGAAACTGCTGAAGCTCAACCTCAGATTTTATTCATAACCTTTCATCCCATCAGTTCTTGAAAGCCACAGTTGTCATCTGAACCACATTGCATTTATGGAATTCCACACATTATTGCAAGTTTCTCACTAACTACAACAGTCACAGACATTTATGTATTTAAAGGGAACTAAAACCTAAATCTTATTTGATTCTGCAAGTCAGTCTTTGGACAGGCATTTTTCAATCCAAGGTATTAAAAGAGTGAGTGAAAGATAGTACATTCAGTAGCAGCACAAACAGTAAGCAGTCCTGTAGATAACTATTAAAATGCCATGAATTTCATGAAAAACCTGTCAGTACTGCTTTTGCAAGACTGTGAGGAATTAAGCTCTTTTGACCTATTGGGCTGCATGCGAACAACATATATTTTAAAGTCAATAACTTGGTAGATAATTGAACAGATAATACAGATAGATTTACTACAGAAAAATATTTTAAAGAGTAGCTTGGAGAAAGCAAGATGCAGCATGTTGATTTTACCTGGTGACTATGGTGTAAATGCATTCAAAATATATGGTACTCACAGTGCTCTCAGTACCATAGCTATAAGAGTGAGACAGGCAAGAGAGATTTGCACTACAAAGAATATAGCATACTCAACTGTAGATACAAAGTACTTCCAAATTTCTCTATGTTAAAACCTGCTAAGTGATCAATAACTTCAGACTTCACTACTTTGCTAGACATCATGTGACCTGAAAGTTTTCCACAAAAAGGAGTTCTCTTGACCCTCAGATTAATTAGTTTGATTGTTACTTTTATTCCTTCCTAAGCCTGCTGGGGGTGGTGAATTTCTTGTGAAGACAGAACTGAACAAAATGACTGAACCAAACTAAAATGTTGGAGGGAGCAAAAAACCTTTGTAATTTATTAATGTATTCAAAAGACTTTTACAAAACTTTACAATTTAATTATTGAAGATTACAGAAGTGCTTCAGTGCTTCTGTACTGTGTTAAATAAACTGTACGTGCAAGGAGTAATAAATGAAATTGTTAATTTCAATGCATCCTTAGGGAATAGTAAAGGGGGGTACATTATTTAGAGCTCCAAATGGATTTGAGTTTATACACAGTAATAAATCTTAACTACATTGTTAATTAACCCTGCCTCAAGCCCTTTTTTACCTTAAGGGTTGAAAGACACAGTGTCTGTAAGGATAACTCACCATTCATATTCTTAAAGATGTTTAGGACTGGGAGGATTTGCCGATAATAGGGCACCAAGGCCTCTCCCACCATGTCAGCTGACACCACCAGGTGCTGGAGGACTTTCAGCGTGACACAGAGGACCTGTCGGTTCCGAAGGCTCAGTGCATCTGTGATGTAGGAAGAACAACAGGCAGAAAGCAGAATTAATTTTTAAAATATAGAGGGAGGGGGAGGAGTACTTTAATGGACAAATTTAATTAAACCATACTCTGCTGGGGATTGTAAGTAGGCCTTTATTAGCCCAGCTTTGAAAGATCCCAAAGATGGATTGCAGTCCTGATGTTATAAAACACTGCCTTGTCTGATTGTTATTTGTTCCCACAATTTGTGCTGACTCTTCAGTAACCCAAAGAATGCAGCCCATTATTCCCTTATGCTGCCTGTGTAATACTGGCGTGGTCCAAACAAATAAAAAATAAATGTTCAATAAGTACCATTTGGGGCCAATGAAACTGTACAACTGCAAGACAACCTGCAAAGGTTGACAACAGATACATTCTACTACAACAATTAGCCTGTTTGTATGTTTGTACCCATTTATTTCATGATCGTTTTATTCATTCAACTAACAATTCCTACTATTCTGAGAATCAGTACAATGAAGCAAATGTTTACAGGAAGAAAACACACAAAAAAAACCTTGTAGGATTTTTTAAAGACAAACATTCGAAAAAAAAAAAAAAAGGTTTTGTCTTGCCCACTTAGATTTTTCTCTTAGCTTTCAGTGTCACTCTTTTAATCTTAAGACACTAAGACATTTCATAAATACTTTTTGTTTCTCTTCACTTTTGAGTTTACTAAATGCAAGTACTTCGCCCTCTCTTTTGTAATTAAAAATGAGTTCTCCTTGAGTAATATACATATACACTTTTTATTTTCCCAAATTCCTCTAGTTATAAAACCTCCTCTGAAACTATGCAGCTGGAAATAGTTGTCAAATTTGATGTGCTATTATATTGGTCTAATATTTCAGTGTTCTGCCCACTTACATAGATGTTTGTATAATTGTAGTGGGAAAAAAAAATATGTGAAAGATAATCTCATTCAATACTACATGTTTATAGCCACAGAAGTATATAAACATGTGAATCAATGTAACAAAAGTATAAGCAACTGGGAAACAAATATAGTAAAGAATACACTGAAACTGTAAGAGGATTTACTTACTAGTAACTTTTTCAAGAACTGCCTGTTCACATTCAAGTAATGGGATTCAGTACTTCTGGCACTAAATATTGGCATTGCACAGGAATACTGTTCCATACAGAATCGGGTAGTATTCTCATGCAAGTGTAATGTCAGTTTTCCCATCTCTTTAAGAAAAGACATGTCTCACCCCCTTCTGCTCTTTATCTTATGCCTGCTAAGTGTTATAAAATCAGAGCTAGAGCTCTGAAGCAAGGGCAAAGCAGACTGGCCGTGTGAATGTGTAGAAACAACCTTTGAAAATCAGCTAGTAAGTAACCTCTCTTCATGCCTCTTCGTGTGCTTCTGAAGAACATAATAAAATCACTGTTAGACTGAGTTAGGGAGCCCAAGGTCTAACAGTACTGTAGGGCATCATAGGCATTTCCAAGTTAAAGAAGTGCTGTTAAATGAAAATATACACCAAGTTCCATAATTTCTTATTTGCCAGTCCCTACTGCAGTCAACAGGCTACATATAATTTCATGTTGTTTCTGAGTATATCAATGTGTGGACAGAAAGTCCATCAATATATTTACACTGAGTCCCAGCAAAGAGGTAAGCTATTCCAAATTTTGCTTTGATGGGCATGTGTTTTAAGGTTGTTTTAGCAAAGAGGGACACCCAGATACATTCTAAAGATTAGATCCAACTCCCAGACAAATAAATATTCCCTCACAGACGAACAGGCATTTTTCATTTTTTTAAAGGAGTGACTGGAAAAGGAAACTCTGGGGTTACAGCATATGTTTATTCATGACTTAACTGTCATACCCAGAAATAGTAACTAACTGAACTAATTAGAAAATTATCATTAATACTTATACTTTTCAGTACAATAATAATTGTAAAACTCAAGAGACATAAAACCTAACAATTACAGAAATCAGAAATTCTTAATTCTTAACCAACAAATCAACTGTACCTAATTCCATGAATTGCTCTTCCTGTCTGTAGAAGCTGACCTAGGGGATGAGGGCTCTTATTTTTAGGCAGGCAGGAGGCGCCATCTAAGTGGAAATGGTTGTCCAACCACTCCCAGGAAGAGTGTTATCTTTAAAACCTTTATCTGCAGATGGTGGCTCCCAAAGGTTATTAGTTTCCTGTTTTCAGAGTTCTGTCTTGTGTGAAGACAGTTGTGCTTTGAGTGGAAGCCAGGATTATCCTGGTAAAAATCAATTCCTTAATAAAGTCAAGAGTATGAAAGAGTCTCATGTGTGAAAAGGAGTCCTGATGATTACAGCAAAACAAACACATACTGAATCCAAAAGAACATTTTCACATAACCTATTCTTCCCTAAATTAGAGTTGTGCTATAGGGGTGCTTACTGGTACTTTAAATAGCAATACTGGCACTTCTTTCATCTGCTTTCTAGAAAATCAGTTTGATACTTGTCCCACCTCCCTCAGTACAGTGTTATCCCATCCCTCCTGTGACAAACAATAAAAAAACAGAATTTGGATCAAGATTTTGAGTGCCAAAGTGGTGGATATGGTAGAATCAAACAGACTGCAGAATTTAGCCTGAAGCCCTTCAAATTGCATAAATCTGCAGTATGTGTTAGGAAAACACTTATAATGATCAAAAGTAAGATCAAATTGACTGCAGAACTGTTATTATCAAATATTTGGACCATGGCATACATAACAGTCAACCAGCTCCTGGCTTCATTATATTAGACACTGTATAAACATTTAATTAGAGACAGTCCCTGCCCCAAGGATACATCAATTTCAAACATATGCTTATTTTTAAAAATCTGGTAATTATTTTCTGTGTACTACCATCACTGCAGACCATTCTCCCTCATGAATAAAAGGATGAACATTTTAATCCTGTAGAAGAAATAAGTACATTTCAACATTTTGAATAATGTCAATGATATCTAGAGGTTACCAAAAATGTATGAAAGTGCATTTCCTACTGAAGAATACAGCAGGACATTTTAAAACTCATAGTTTGGGACAGCCACCTATCCCTATAGAAGAAAACGTGCAAAACATCCAAGGCATTCCAATCTGGAACCACACTAGGCTATCACCTCTTGAACTAGAATTCTGCTGCAAGACATGGATCTTGACAATTACAGCAAAGCAAATGACCTGTTTGTTTCTCAGTTAAAGATACTTCTCCATTCCTTAAAGGGTTTTTAGAGGACTTCCCTCTGTCAGTGGTATATATTTCCTTTCTGGTCATACAGCCCATATTTTGTGAATTGTAGAATTCTTGAAAGCAGCAACTTTGAAACAACAAACAAAACAATAAACTGATTCTTCTGCTTGGTAATTACAACGTTTTCTTCTTTAATGCAGCTTGACAATTTTACTTGTGATGAAGCTATACACTTTTCCAGCAGAACCTCCAGCTTGAGTAATTGGTTAATGCAAGAATATAATGAAGTATGTACTTAATAAATTTGTACTGCTACATTTTTTTCCAGATATTCACTGAAGTTTTCCATATCTTTTTCTTAATTAAAAGACAATTTATAAATGTTAATAAGTTAAATTAAAAAAATGTAAAAGCTGGTCTAAAATGGTGTAAAAGCTCAGTATCTGAGTCAACTCTGTGTTTCTACCATTCAAAGTAACAGTAATAGGTAATTATAAAATTTGGAAGTATATTTGAAACCACACATTTTGGGGAGGGAGGTTTTTCACAGTGCTGTTAACTAAAGCTTGCTAGCAATGAGCCAATATATATAATACCAATTCATTGATAGCTTCAGTGATTTTTTTTTTTCATTAAATTTCATTGGCAATCTATGCAAATTAATTTTTTTCTTTTGCTAAAGAGTTAAGACTTCTTATATGCTACTTGCTTGTTTATGCATTTAGATAGAAGCAGTTCATATATGCAGCAATAGAATAGACTTTCTAAAAATTTAAGTCTTTTTCTTGAGTAATACTTCTAACATCTTAAAGAAAAAGACCTAGAAGCTATATAAGTAGATATTTCTTATTTTATTTTTTACTTTTCTTTGGCAGTTTGGAGTATCCTATCTTGGTCTCAATGTTGTCTCCAATAGAAGCCACAGTTGTCATCTTTGGGATTAATACATTTTATAAGCCAGGAAACACGACAGCATTTCTCCCAATATACAGTGGATCTTTTCCATAAGACAATGTATATTCACTGAAGAGGTCAGATCAGAACATTCTTCTTCAGACAGAACATAGAAAGCCTAGACTGTACTTAATCAAATCAGATCCTTCAAACTTCCATCACTTTCTAAAAATTAAAAATTAAATTGTGGTAGTTCCATTTAAAGTTATATTGTTAATTTAATTCTGTTTAATTGGAACAGACCTTTAATTATTTTCAACCCTTTTTCCAAAAACAACCGTGAATCTATGTTTAGAAATGCACTGACAGTTTCCATTCTCTACGTAGGTCTTAAAACCAAAGATTAAAACCAATTTAGTTTGCATTCATATATTTCCCCCAGTTGGCAAGTGAGGCACCTGTTTTAGAAAATTCTTTACTTGAAGCAGAACAAGATACATAGAGCAGGACTCCTGCAGAGGTACAAGGCACTGAGTAAAGGGGCTTCTATTGTTGTGGCCTGCTTAATCTTATTGATCAAGGTTTCTTAATTTTACAGAATCAGGTTTACAGAATGACTAATATGAATTGTTCACAAAATGCAATTGATTAAAGCTTCTATTTAAGAGAATTTTGTCCAAAACACTCAAAATGCATAATACCCTGAAATGATTTATTATGCTGATTTTACAGAATAGTAACTAAGGCTGTTACAAAGTGTCTCAATCAAGTCAGTGAAAACCAGAATAACAATCTTGTGCTCTTTTTTGAAGTCAGGTAAGATACTGATCCAATTTACAATATTGCTGTACAGACATTTCTTCCAGTAAAACAGAAGTATTAGTGTGTTGCAGCGAGGTGATGGGAAGGAGGAAT